ACTAGAAATCATCATTTTAATAAAATTCCATCAATGTAGTTGTAGTTTTTATCTTTGTGACTCACCAGAAGCAAATATTAGACCAAATGAATGTTTCTCAAAACAGAGGACTTGCGGACCTCTGTAGTGTGTCTGTAGAGCCAGTTTGGAAAATGGGCATTAACAAGCAAATGCTTCAGTGCCACTGCGATTGCCAGTATGAGTACTTCAATCACGGAGTACATGGTGGGCTGGATGTCCAACGGGAATTTGAGAGTCTGGATTGGAATGTCAAGTCTATTGCTGCTACTACAGGCGAGATTTAAATTCAAGCTGTCTCGTCCAGTACAACCCCCTCTCTTTTCTGGCTCTTTCCCCAACTCTCCCTGCTCAGCACTCACATAACACAGTAGTAAGAACACACATTTTGGGATTCCAAGGCCCTTGAGGAGAAGTGCAGCTCCATCACTTTATATGTTTTGTGACTGTGGAACAGTCAACCTTTCTGAAGCTCTGTTTCTTCATTCGAGGATAACATCAACCTCAAAGGCTATTAGGAAGGTTTAATTGACATGCATTTAAGTGTTTATCATAGTGTCTGGAATATAGCAATCAGTCAATTGTGGAAGTTATTGCCATTGTTATTATTGTTGTAATTTATTAGGGATTTAAGGAATTCTAATTCAGTGACTCAAGTGTCTCAGCCTCAGGTTAGCCTGATCATCTTATTCCTATGCCCAACTCACTTGGTTTTTGTCATATTCCTGACAGCCAAACTCCATTAATTAGGTTCCTGTCTTCCTCCTCTGCAGCTCAGTCATGTAATGTCTCTGAGCCTCAGTTCCCACATCTGTAAAATGGGGGTGATGAATTCCACCTTGTTTACTTCATAGGAGTATTATGACATCCAAAACCCGGCAGTGTGATTCATACAGAAATATCACATAAACTATAACATGGTGTAAAAATGAGAGAGATTGATGATATTATTACTGTTATTACTCCTCTAGAAGGCACCATATGGTTCACACTGGTCAATGTTGTCCAACAAATTCAGTATTTTTCAGACAGGAGTCTGCTGAACCCTGTATAAATTCTCACAATCTTCTAGTTCTCTATGAGACTTTAAAATATGTGCGTTTATTCCAGTGAAATTCTAAATACCAATATAACGATCTGATCATTTACTCCATGGTTTAGGTACTCACATTGGCAATCGCAGTGGCACTGAAGCACTCGCTTGTTAGAGCCGCATTTTCCAAACTGGCTCTACAGACACACTACAGAGGTCCACAGGTCCTCCAGGTCCTCTGTTTTGAGAAATACTCATTTGGTCTAAGATTTGCTTCTGGTGAGTCACAAAGATAAGAACTACAACTCTGGAGAGCTCTGGCTGCCAGATGTCTGCATTCCCCACAGTCTCAGAGCAGGGAGTGAATGCACAGTCAGTGCTAGGGTTTGGAAGAGCACTGGCAGCCAGGCTCAGCACTTGCAGGTTCCAGGACCCAGGCACGTCTGTGAGAGAGAGTGGCATAGCTTTCCAATTTCTGCATGGTTCAAGTTCATCTTATGACCACACCAATGCTATGGAAATAAACATACATATCTCTTCTATAAAATATGGATATATATGCAAGCATATATATGCATATGTACATACACACCATATGTGAATATGTACAGATGGGTGGATTTAATATGTGAAGCAAGAATTTTCCATTTGTGCAGAACACTTTTAACTTTTTAAAGCATGGTGGCATTTGGCAACATATTTGGTCTCCCCAGTGACACTATGAGTAGGTAGAGTGGGAGTTACTGTTCTCAATTGACAGATGAGGAAACTGAGTGTTGGAGAGTTGTCCAAGAATACAGAGCCAGCTAAGAGTGGCACCTGGACAAAAAACAGGTGTTTTGTTTGTTTGTTTGTTTGTTTTGACTCTCGCCTATAAGTTCTCTTCTCTGACCTACAATCCCCTTCCCTCCTCTCTTCCGGCAGCCCTTCAAAGGTGGCTATTTGAACCCCAAAATCATTCCTCCAAAGTGATCTGCTAAAAGAATACTGCTGGCTACTTTGAAGCTCATGCATTCTGACAGGGACAGAAAGAACTGCAAAATAAAAGTATAGCTCCCTCCTTTTGTTAAACCTTTTGAAGCCTTCCTTGGTCTCTAACTCTATAATTACACCCTAATCACAAACATTCCGAAGGAATGGGTCAGTTCTATGCAGCAGTAGACTAATTATGTGGCAGAAATTCTAAAAATTATCGTCTTATAAATTGCACTATTCCTCTGAAAGGGGAAGAAAACACACCACATACTTGACTATGTTTCAAACTGAATTAATTAGTAATTTGAAGCCTAATTATCAACTAATCTATTGGAACATGTAAGTCTTTTTTCATTTGGATGGTATATGCAATTTGCATCCTATTAGCTGGCAGTTGTACCGATTTGAGAGCTCATTAGGTCAGAAGAAGAAAAATGCATATCAGAAGGATATAACAACCCAAGAGACTGACTTGGTGATGCTGTGACTGAAGGGTTACTGGGCAACAGATGGAGGCTGGCAATGTAATTACCTGGGGTCTTTCAGTGACTCTAAGGCCACTGTATGCAATTTCTGTCTCACCCCAGAGAGGTAATTATGCGTATCCCCACCCTTGTTCTGTGTATTCTTGTTCTATGTTTGTTCTGTGTATTCTTAAGCAGCAGGGTGCCTACAAGGTCTCACTGAGAGGTGCTCTGGAGTTGTAGAAAAGGCCTGAATACTGTCTGCTACCCTTGGTGACAGGCCTAGCTCTGGTGCTGCCTCACCATGAGACCTTGGCCAAGTCACAGCCCTTTGCTGGTTGTTTCCCTAGAAACAAGTGAGGTTTAAGTGGAGATGACTTCCTGAGTCCACTCTAGCACTGAGGATCTGGGAGTCAAGGGATGTCATGGGCTTTCCTTACTCCAAAGTCAAAAGTTCCATCTTTGCAAATGGTCTTTGGAGGGTGAGACTCTTGGTTCCCCAAAAGTGTCTGGAGAGCCACCCTCATTTAAAATGCAAATACCTCTGAGAAAAGTAATACATTTAGCCATTAACAGCTGGGCCTAAATTAACCTACCACCCTAAGCCCTTCTTATTTCACGTCCTGACTCTGAAATATTGCCAATACAAGTTAGTTGAAGAAGGGGAAAGAAGAGTAAGGTGGGGATCTATCTAAGGCTGGATGCCAGGTCAGAAAGAGGGACAGAATTTATGGATTAGGCAGGATGCTTTAGTCACATTTTTAGATTCATGCACCCTGTGCCTTATTTCCACTAATGGCCTTTACTCCAGAAATGAGTAGCAAATATTAATTTTTGTTCAAATAATATTGCTCATAGAGATAATCAACACAAAACAACATGGTTAAAACGGAAACCAGTTATATGTTCAGTTAAATAAGTTAAAACCTGAAAATTTGTTATAGATAAAAAGTTAGAAACCACTTCTTAATGGAAACATGGAAAATTGCAAAGACAGACTAGGATAATAAACTGTAGAAATAGTTATCATTAAGAGAAACTTGCCATCATTCAAACTGTCACATGGAAAAATTTGTTACTGATTAAAATTTGATGGGTGATGCGGCCACTTTGGAAAATAATTTTGGAGTTCTTCAAAATGTTAAACACAGAATTGTCATATCACCCAGTAATTCTATGCCTAGGTATATATTAAAGTGAAAAATTGGTGCACTGATGTTTTATAGCAGCATTATTCATTATAGCCAAAAAGTGAAAACAACCCAAATGTGCATAAACTGAAGAATGGATAAAGAAAATGTGGTATATGCACATAATGAAATATTGTTTGACAATAAAAAGGAATCAAGTAGTGATACATGCTGCAACATGGGTGAACCTTAAAAATGTTATGCTAAGTGAAAGAAGCCAATTACAAATGACCACATATTGTATGATTTCACATATATGACATGCTCCAAATAGGCAAATACATAGGGATAGAAAGTAAATTATTGGTTGCCTAGGGCTGGAGGAGCTTGGGGGATAATAAGGAGTCATTGCTAAGAGGTAAGGGATTTCTTCTAGGGGTGATGAAGAATTTTAAAATAAGATTGTGGTGATGGTTTCATAACTTTGTGAATATATTGAAAACCTTTTAAGTGTACACTTTAAATGGATGAATTGTGTGCTTTATAAAATATATCTCAATAAAGCCTTTAAAAATGAGGTTAAACACCAAATGAAATTACATTTGGCTTTGGACAGAAAAGCTAGAAGAATTAAACTTCATGATAAAAAAGTTGAGGTGTAAAACATGACCCAGAAAAAATAGACTTCACAGAAATAGTGGTTACAAAAGAAAACTCATAATGGTACATGCTAGTAGGTAAAATTTAATATATACAAAAAATGATTTGATGAGTTGTTTTCTTTGTAATATAAAAAACAGTAGCACTCGATACAATGATCTGTAGTATGTTAAAACAAATATATATATATATATACACACACACATACATATATATTTTAAACAGACTTATCTATGCCATGTAGAAAAGTAAATATAAACTAAGTGGACATAATATTGTTCATGCTGGGAAGTTGTTTCTGGTTAAAATTTTGTCAATACTAGTGTAATTGCGATGTAAATGTATTTATAAGCAGTAAAACTATCACTGGGGTCAAAATAGAGGGCCCAAAACAGTAGGATCAAGACATCTTGTATTAATTCAAAGATGTGGTGATTTTGTCCCTATTGCCAAGGGGCAAAGCCAATTAAAGCTGGAATTGTGAAGATGATAAAGCCTTGCTCCACCAGTATGCTCTCTTCTGAGGAAGGTTAGAGGTTCATGAACAGTGTGTTGTGGTTTGATGAGTGGGATGTGGAGAAGATAAAAATTTATTATTGCCAAGACTCATTACAGCCCTGAATTGCCCCTTCCACCTACTCAGTTCACATCAGCAAGAGGCAAGGTAGGTCCCCAAACCTGGAGAAGCCTTGAGTTAAGAGCCTGCAGTGCTCTACTCACCAGATTTGCAAGGATGTAGTGGTAGCCGATGCCGTTCTTCTCCAGCTTTATAATCTACAAAACATAATAGGTGGAGACTCATTAATCGTACTAACAATTAAAGCCACAACAGCAACAGTAATAATGGCAACTGATATTGAGTACTTACAATGTGCCCTATCCTAAGCACTCGAAATACAGTATCCCAACCACTCCAAGGATGGTGGCATTGTTAGCATCCTTGTTTTACAAATAAGGAATAGGCATGGAGTGTCTATTATATAAACTCTGTAAGTTGTAATCTTACAGCTCTTGAGTGGCAGATGGCAGAATTTGAAATCAGTTTTGTCTGATTCCAAGGGTAGAGTGCTGTTACTGTAACCCCAAGGACCCATCTGAAACGCTCACTGCATTCTTTCTTTCATAAACCTTCTTTGTATGTGAAGATTCTTCTTTAGGTGGGAATCTTATGTTGCATGAAATCTGTCATGATGATATTTGCTGATTGGAAGGACAGATGAGTTAATAGGTGGATGGTGAACGAACAGTCAGATGGGTAGGTGGATGACCACCTTCAATTCCTTGCATGAACCATATGTAGATGCTCTTCTTTCTTTTTCTGAATTTTGTGCCTTCCTCCCCAAATCAGTTGGGTACTCAGACATTAATGGATTGCCCAAGTTAGAAGCTGGAAGGGAAGGTTAGGATCATCTGGTCCAACCTCTCACTGTACAGATAGGAAGTCAAGATCCAAAGAGGGAAAGTGGTTTGCCCAGATCCGATAGTAGCTTGGTGGCAGCATCAGGACAGGGACCTGACTCCTGTGAACTTTTCCATTTGATGTTTGATTATGGTTAATCATTAAGAACTAGTGCCCATGAAAACCCTTTTATCCCAAAATGCAGACTATCCCTAATTATCACAGGTAGAAAAAATATTTGTGGAAAGAACTGTCCAGAAGTTTGCTTGGGCAGGAAACACACCTAATAATGAATGGTTAAGACTACAGACCTTGGTTTTAGACCTAGCTCAGCCTGCAAATTAACTTAATCTAATTCCCTATTTTTTTAATCATCAAATTGGGGTTAGTGTACTCTTCTTGGTATCTCTCCGCCTGTACTGTTGCAAGGAGACATATAACAAATGATAAGCACTTGGGCTTCTCTAACTGAATAAATTTTCAAGGTTATTAAAATCCACATTCAGACATCTACTTAACTGGATGTATGTGCATAGTGACTCACATTTTTTTTTATGTGGGGAATAATTAAATGCAAGCACACACAATGAATTCTTTGAAACAGTGGTTAGATTGTGAAATTCCAGACCAAGGAGCTCAAATACTATTGGGATGATAGTTTTATTCATAATTCTTCATTACTTTTTCATATGCTTGTCAAATGGTTTGCTGCCTTTTCAACAATGAGATACCTTTATCAAAAACCTATTCAGCTTCTAATAAACACAAAACAGCAAATACATGATATTTTAAAACCAACCACATTCAGGCAATGGAGAAATGTCATCCCCACAAGATGAAAGTACAAATTGAAACATAGGAAACAGCTGATAACTGATGACTTTTTTGACTTATAAAAACTGGCACTTTCATGTGATCCAACCTGATACCAACCTTCCCATCTATCTAATCCCCAACCTATATATTGACCTTCCCTCCTCTAATAACTTCCTTTCACAAATATGTATTAAGTGCTTGCTATGGGTGAAGCACTGTTGGCAACACAGTGGAAAGGTGAAAGAAGCATAGTGCTTGCCCTCTTGGAGATTACACTTTACTGAGAGGAGATCCATAATAAATACATGAACAGATAAATACATACAGGGTAACAAACTGAGAAAGGTGTTGTAAATGTAAGAAGCAATTTCACAAGGGGTCCATCACCTCACTGACCCCCATTACTTCAAAGCTCATTCCGAATGCATTGCCTTCATTCACAATACTTGTGTCTGAATGGCCTCTCCCATTCTCTCTGATTGTTCGTATCCTTAATGGCTGAGCTCCAATCTCAACGCCTCTGTAAAACTCTCTATGATTAATGAATTAATCCATTCAACAAATATTTATTGAACATAAATTATATGCCAAGCACTATGCTATGTGCTGGGGAAACAGCATTGAGCAAGTGAGGCAAGGTCTCCGTGCCCTCATTGAGTTGAGTTGACATTTTAGTAGGGTGCCAGATGGTCAACATATAAATAGATAATAAACAAGATTTCAGCAGGTACAAGCACCATGAAGACAATAACATAGGGGGATGTGATGGATGGCCTCAACAGGTCCTGGTCTACTCTCACTTCTAACTCATATTGTGCTTAATGACTGTATTATATGCTTTGGCATCATATATTGATAAAGTGTTATAGTCTAATAACCCTGTTCTTTGCTCACAAACCTTCACTGACTCCGCACTGTTTACAGAATAAACCCTAAACTCTTTCTAATGGTTTCTGAGGATATTCTCGATTATGTGTTTATCTTCCTGCCATCCTCTCCAGTGGACTCTCAGCATCCATCACTCAGCCTGCAAAACGGCACTGTGAAACCCAGCCCTCACATGCTCTCTGGGCCTCCTGACACACCCTTTCATCCATCTTAAAGGCTCTTATCCAGCCAATGACTACGTATAGAAATCCAGATTTATCTTACATTTAAGAACTTTCTTAGAGGCTTCATTGATTCCTTATTCTTTTAATTCACTAAAAAGAACGTATTGAATACTTTATTTGGTGCCAAGCACTATCCAAGGCATTGTGGACTCAGCAGGGAAGAAAATAAAACAAAAATCCCTGCCATCGCCGAGCTTAAATTTTAGTTGGGAGGCTGGAGACAGACACAGGCAATTAATTCCCTATATGGAATTTTGAGTCACTGTTTTTTTTTTCCCTCAGATTAGGTGAAAAATTTCATGTTAGACCGCATGCAGTTACTTAACGTAACTGTATCCCAGGTATGTTCCCAGTTACTGAATGTGAGATAGTCCAGGATGATGCTAAGTGTGAGATTGTAAGTCAGAGATGTAAGTTGTAGGCTCATTACTGTCATTCACTAGCTGTCTGAGCCTAAGGCAAATAACTTAATCAATTTGACCGTCAGTCATTCTGTCTATAAAATGTGAGCATAAGCAATGAATCAAGTGATCTGTAAAATCCTTTCAACTCTTTGGTCTTACTTTTCAAAATAGATGAATGAAATAATTTTAAAAAATGTTAATAAGCTATAATCTAAAATACCCATACAAACAGGTCACTTCTTTACAAAATGCAAGTTTATGACAATTTTAAAAAATGTTAATAAGCTACAATCTAAAATACCCATACAAACAGGTCACTTCTTTACAAAATGCAAGTTTACCCTTTGACAGAGGAGTTAATTGTAGATAGCAGAAGCAGAAAAGTTGCATGTTTAAGAGGTTGGGCTCTGTGGCCAGACCAAGAAAGGTTTGACTTCCTGCTTTTATTATAAGCTAGCTGTGAGATCTTGGGCAAGTATAATCTCTCTTTTCTTCATCTATAAAATAGGGGAATTGATAAAAGCTGTTTTACATAGTTGATGTGAGAATGAAATAGGATTATGCATGGAAAAGGCTTGGCCTAGTATCTGGTATACCATACACACTCAAAAAATAGTAGCAATGACTATTGTCTGTACCATAGAACAACATACAATAGGTCATCCGTCTATTAATATGTCATTATCATTCAGCACTTTTTCCGTTGACTCCATTATCTTGTCTTTTTATCAGTTTTATAGAACAGAGGCCTTCATTCATGTTTTACAGATGGATTCACTTATGCCCAAGGAAGGAAGTGACTCAAGAAGCCGGTCCTAGTAGGCACTAGGAATAGCAAAAATAGGCAAATGCTTGCATGCGTCACTTACTGTGGGGCAGACTCTGTTCTAAGTGCTACACATTAATTGATTCTTTTAATTCTCACAAGAGCCCTCTAAAGGTGGCTATTATGAGGATGATGCCCATTTTACAGATCAAGAACTTGAGATGTAGAAAGATTAAAAAAACTGGTCAAGGTCACAAAGCCAGTAAATACTAGAGTTGGGATTTGAACCCTAGCCAGTCTGGTTTTATCTCTTCTCTTCACTATTGTCTTATCCTGCCTGAATTGAAAACTGGAATTCAAATCCCTGACTCTGGCCCAGAGAACTTCCATCTCAATGGGAACAATTTTTGATGGGTTTCTCTTTCCAAGAGGGAAGGCCAAATTCATACTTTACGAAGTAGAACAGTTAGTGTATTAAAGAATCCATAACATTCAAACTCTCTCCCTGTTCTATTGCTGAGGTCTCTGAGTGATAGCTGTCCTAGTACCGAGATTCTCTGTGAGGGCCCCAGGGGTCTTGAAGGCCATTAACAAACTTTGTCATGTTGTCAAGTACCTAAAACTATCAATTTTATTGTATGACATTGTTCAAAAGTTATTGCAACATCTGCTACCTTGCTAGTTCTGAATCTGAATACATAAACTAGTTTAAAAAGATAAAGAATCTACAAAAAAAATCCTGCTAATTCTGTGGTGGGCACGTGCTTTTGTTCTGAGACTAGGGGAAACACAGTTTAGAGAGATCTAGTTCAAGACTGTTGAGGTTACAATGGCCTGTTTATAGAAGAATGTACCATGAATTGATTTCTCAAAGTGAAGGGCATGTTCAAGGAAACAATAGAAAGAAAGGTGGCTGCAGCTTCATTAGCCTCTTAAAACAGGTAATAAAACAGGTAAGTGGGTGAAAGGAATGAGATGCCAAACCCTGGATCACGAGAGACAGAGTCCAGAGTCGAACCCAGAAATTTGCCTCTATAAGCTGTGTTCCTAATATGATAACATTTCATAAACTCTAAAATGAAATGTAATTTATCATTATTTTTTATTTTTATTTTTTGAGACAGAGTCTTGCTCTGTTGCCTAGGCTGGAGTGCAGTGGCACAGTCTTGGCTCACTGCAAATTCCACCTCCCAGGTTCAAGAGATTCTCCTGCCTCACTGACTCACCCTCCTGAATAGCTGGGATTATAGGTACATGCCACCACGCCCGGCTAATTTTTTTTTTTTTTTTTTTTTTTTTTTTTTTTTTAGTGGAGACAGGGTTTCACCATGTTGGCTAGGCTTGTCTTGAACTCCTGACCTCAGGTGATCCGCCTGCCTCAGCCTCCCAAAGTGCTGAGATTACAGGCCTGAGCCACTGCACCCAGCATTTTTTGTCTTCGTCGTCTTCTTCTTCTTTTTTTTTCACAAAAGAGGGATACATTGGAGTTAACAGGTCTGAGAACCATTTGAAGCCCTATGTCAAGGCTCCTATTGTTTGTAGTATTTCAGAATTAAATTTTGTGAATTATGGAAAATGAGATGGAAGTCATCTAGTCTCACCTAGTCAAGAAGCCTCTTTAAAGGCAAAAGTGTATCTGGCTATTCCTGAATCACCTCCCACACCCACCCTGAGCCCTTGCTGCTTTCACTACCTGGCCCAAGATAGCATTGAGGCGTTCTGATTCACAGTCCACCACCACCAGTCGCTCCTTTTTCTTCTCCAGGTCCTGAAACAGCATCCGGTATCCCTCCTCTGTGGTTGTCAAAATGTTGACTGCTGTCACCTGCCAGTTCTTCTCGGCAGCTGTGTCCAGGACTTTCTGCAGGACGGATAAGCCTGAAGTTTGGATGATTAGGATAGAGAAATGACAGACAATCAGGATTTGTGGGCACCACCCACTCCCATCAGGCACCTACCTCCCCTGGCTACCCCCAAATCCACTCTTCTGCCAAAATTAGTTCTGGTTTTCTCTGGCTGCAAAAGTCTGAACTCTGTGAGGTCAGGCACTGTGTTTCTGAACATAGTAGATGGTAGAACTAGTGATTAAAAAACACAGTCTAAGGCTCAAATCCAACATATGGCTAAATGACCTTGTGCAGGTTCATTAGCCTCTTCAAACTTTAGTTTCTTCAAAGGTAAAGTGTGGTGTAAATAATGCCCACCTCATAGTGTCATTATGAGGATTAAGTGAGAATGTTTGACACATACCAGAGTCTGATACCTGCAAGGGTTTTATAAATATTAGCAGTTAGTTTTATTGGACACTCAGTAACTGCTTATTAAATGTGCCAACCTAGCAACTAAGTGGTCACCTAATAACTGCTGATCAAATTTGTGAAAGTTCAATATAGTATCTTTAATACCTAATACTTTGTCTCTCACACAGTAGGTGTTTAATATGCATCCTGGGGAGATGGGACCCGTGGCTCATGCCTGTAATCCCAGCACTTTGGGAGGCCAAGGTGGGTGGATCACCTGAGGTCAGGAGTTTGAGACCAGCCTGGCAAACATGGTGAAAACCCATCTCTACTAAATAAAATTATAAAAATTAGCCTGGCATGGTGGTGGGTGCCTGTAATACCAGCAACTTGGTAGGCTGAGGCAGGAGAATTCCTCAAATCTGGGAGGCAGAGGTTACAGTGAGCCCACGTCGTGCCATTGCACTCCAGCCTGGGTGACAAGAGTGAAACTCTGTCTTAACTAACTAACTAACTAACTAACTGACTAAAATGTGTCCTGAATTAAACTACTCTCTTTTGATTTACAGGTAAATGAATAGAGAGGCCACTACTGAATGCTGCTTTGTTTCTTCTTGGAGAATTAGATGGTGTATTAGTTTCCTATTGCTGCTGTAACAAGTTACCACACACTTAGTGGCTTAAAACAACCCAAATGTGCTATCTTACAGTTCTTGAGGTAAGATGCTTGAGATAGGTGTCCTAGGCTAAAATCAAGGTGTCAGCAGGGCTGTGTTGGTGTCTGAAGGTTCTAGGGGAGAATCCACTCTCTTGTCTTTCCAACTTCTAGAGGTTACCTGCATTTCTTGGCATATGGCCCCTTCCATCTTCAAGGACAGTAATGGTGGTCGAGTCTTTCTCACATTCCACCACTCTGACACTGACTCTTCTGACTCCGACTTCCACATTTAAGGACCTTGTGATTACATTGTGTCCCCCCAACATAATCCAGGATAATCACCCTATTAAAGGTCAATAGTTTAGCAACCTCAATCCCATCTGTAGCCTTAATTTTCCTTTGCCATGTAACATAGACATATTCTCAGTTTCCAGTGATCACAACATGAACATCTTGGGGGGGAGTGTCATTATTAATTATTCACAGATATTATTTTGATTTTGCATGGATTAATTTTTTGTATGTATGTCATTTCTGACTTTCAGTAACACTGCTAACCTCTTCCACAGTGACCAATATAGTACCTGGCCTCAAGAATCATCTGTAGATTGGTTCTGCTATGCCTCCCTATGTTTGTTTCCTTTTCAGTACAAGTTGTCTGGTGTGTTTGAGATTAACATTTACTGAAAATTTACTGTGTGTCTGGCGCTGTTCTACCGGTTTTAATTCACTTAATCTTTCAAGGTACATACTATTATTATCCCTATTTTACAGTGTGGTAATTGAGGCTCAGAGAGATTTAGTCATTAGTCCAAGGTCACACAGCTAATAAATGGCAGAGCTCTGAGCTCTGAGTTCTGAGGTAGGTGGAGCTCTTTTGAGAGTGTAGGTGCTTCTGCTGGCCCCAGAGATGATCTCACACAAGCAAAGGTACATTTTTCCAACTTTATTACTTCCAGGCTTCCAGTTTCATTATGCTGCAAAGCTGTCCTGAAATAGACCTCCAAGTGACCCCTGAAGTAGTTGCAGTCTGAGAGGGGAAGTCATCAAAGTGGGGACAGTGAAGGGAAAATCAAAGAAAATAGGGTGTTTCTGGTTTCTTCTTCTGTTGGCTCCTTCCCATCTGAACAATGCTTGCCTAACTGCCTGAAAAATCACTTTCACAAACTGCTCTCCAACTCAAAAGTCTTCTAAGACTCCCTGCAGGCAACCACATCAGTACTGTACTCCTGTCTCACCTTTCAGGCCTTGCATGACCCATTTATTTGTTTACACCAGTAGTGACTAAATTATTACAAGACTATTTAGTATACAGTGGGAAGGTAAGACAGTACAAGACAAACATTACGGGAGTTGGAGAGAGCGCTCCCATCCAGAGAACTGGGGAATAGGGAAAATGGTATTTGAACAGCCTGCAAAAGAGGAAAAGGATTTACAGATGTAGATTGGAGAAGGGAAGTGCATTCCAGAAAACTGGAATAATATGAGTAAAGACATAGAGAGGAAAAAGTATAGAAAACATTTGGAAAATGTGATGTTAAATTCAAAGGAGGAAGAACTAGAAAGCCCAGAGAAGGATGAAGATTATGATGACGATGAAGATGATCATGATGATGATAACATCTAACACCAGAAAGAATTTTGAGTTTTTACTATGTTGCAGGCACTGAACACTTTGTAGTCATCTCATTCAGTTTCACAAAACCTTTATAAGGTAGAGACTGTTTTTGTCTTCATTATAGACATGAGAAAATGAAGGTATAGAGAATTTTATCCCCATTATACAAATGCTGAAATTGAGGCAGAGAGAGTTCGTCCAAAGTCAAACAACTGGAGAAGACAGAACCTAGGTTTCAGATTCAAATCTGTCTGACTCCAAAGTCTGAGATCCTTTGGCATTGAGTTTGGACTCAGGAGCCATGAAAGCTTGGTGAGCTGTAGAGCGACTTGGTGCATTAAGAGAATTATTCTCAGAATGCGTTTCCAAAATGAATTATAGGTTACTACTGATAAATGCATTTCCAAAATGAATTAGAGGTTAGCTACTGATAAATCAGTCAGATTTCTCAGAAATAAAGCATTTTGGATAATTTTCCCACATTTTTCAGGGAAGCAGTGAGGCATCATTCTCCTTTCTGCTGGTAATTTTCTCTCCATCCCTCAAAAGTCTCCCTCCCCTAACCCTTGGCTTACCCCGGTCAGCATCATAAATGTAGACAAATTTCTGCCACTTGTAATGGTCAATGATGCTGATGAGGGCATCCTGCAGTTCAGGGCGCAGCTGAAGGACAAATTGATTGGATGTATCAACGGGAAAGCTCGGCGTAATGAAGCAGACGTGGAGGGCCCCACAGAAGGAGGTCAGCATGTTGACAGTCCTACGTTCATAAAACCCAAAGATGGCATAGACTCCTTTGGAGAACTGGGAACAGACTAGAAGAAGAGAAGAGAAGGATTAATGAATAGAAGACTGCAAAATTGGTCAGATGACTCCAAAATGAATCCATCCACTAGTTCATCCATCCAACCCATCAACTATCCACCCAACCATCATCTATTCATCTACCCATCCAACAAACCAATCCATCCATCAGTCTTTTTGACACATCAGTCTATCCAACTGTCCATCCATCCTACCCATCTAACCATCCCACTCACACATTCACCTGTTCAACACGTCCTTCATCTGTGTAAATCCAATTTTATTAGGTATCTATTACAAGCCAGAAGTTGTCATGGTTATTAATTATAGTAGTCATATATATAAGACACTTTCATCTATTACCTTACTTGGTCTCTACAATGACCCTGCTGAGGTTAGAAAGGGATGACTGAGTCATTGTTTTAAAGGGAAGAAACCAAGGCTCAGAAATTTACTGAACATGTTCAAGGTAGCACAGCTAGGACATATGACTTGAGCAGATATCTTGACTCTTAATCTAATGATCTTTCCCTCACATTGTCTATCAGTTAAAGGCAAAGCATAAAAAGGTGCTACAGGAAGAATCCAGCTATTGCTGCTGATACATGTTTAAGAAAACAAGTGTTGATTTTCCCAGTCTGGCCCTTAACTCTCAGTGTTCGCTTGTCTGCTAATGCTCATTTTGTGCTTGTACATCTTGCTAGCTGATTTTCAGACCCCCCAGTGTATCAGTCATAGTAATAGCTTAGCTGTGAGAACATACCCACAAGATCGATTCTGTAGGATCCCAGTGCAGTTACCAATCCTGGTTTGCGGTTGATTACACTTCTAGTTAAAATATAATGCTAAAAAGACCAAGGTCATGGGATTAAACTCCAAGTCAGTCAGCTCCTAAACTTTGTTTTACTGTATGATATAGGAGGAGAGTTCATAATCTTTGCCCCAGTGAGACCAACCCCAAGGCCATCTTCAGTGCCTAAAAATTGCCCTTCCAAGGTGGATGGTGAGGAAAGTCATTCATCCTTGTCGTAAGAAGAGTATTTTAGAGAGCTCTGTGGTCCTTTTACATATATTGGGCTATTTAGTCCTCATCACATCCTTGTGACTTAGGTATTATTATTTTTTTCTTTTAAGATAAAAAAGTTAATGCTATTAGATCCTTTACTCTTTTTTACCATATCACCTGCTTCTAGAACCCCACATTGCCATTGTGTATGGGATCTCAAATTACACTATGCGACCATTGCCCAGAAGGTTTCATGAAATAATAGCCCCACAAGATGCTCCTTAAAAAATAAAAGTCTTCTTTGGTCAACTACAGTTGCGAAGTGGTGCATACTTTGTCCCTGTTTTAGAGTTTCATACTTCACATTTGCTGCATAAAAGATTGTGAGGAATTCTACCCATTTTTATCCCAGATCTTGTCAAATCCATTTGCCTCCCAGACCCGTTTTGGTGAATACTTTAGAAATGTTATTGAAAATCTTTTGGGCCATGCGCAGTAAAGAATGCAATTAAGCAGTGGTACCTAATTGTCTACTGCGAGTCTCCGTTTTCCATTAGTCCCTAGAGATAATGGGCTTTAAAGGTCATAATCTCTTAAAGATTGCAGCTAAACCATATAACACATCTGTCCTACTCCTACTGAAAACCAGCATACCATCTGCAGGAAACCTGGCAGGTGATCATTAACATCTGCTTGCGTACTTCTAGTTACTGAGATTCTGGTTTCACATAATTCCTGCTCTTGACCCACTCTATAGACCTGGTATCTGAAGGTGGTGTTCATGGCCTTGAGCTTTATGACATTTGGTTTTCAGTGACAAAATCAATTCTCTACCCAGAAGCCAGAGAGATCTTATTTAAACAATAAAGACAAAACAAACAAAACACATTGTTCTTCCTCCTTGTGCAAATCCACTCAAAGTTTTCCCTTTGCACACAGGAAAAGCCTCAACATCTGACCATCACACAGAGTGTGAATAGCCTGCTCCTCTGACTTCACCTACCTTATACCCCTCTTCTACTCGCTGCCTGCTGTAGCCACACTGGCTTTCACTCTGTTCCTCTGGGCTCCGAGCTCATTCTTCTTGGGAGACTCTGCATCAGCTGCTCCCCTCCTGCCTGCAATGCTCTTCCCTTACCTCTTTGCAAACATCACTCCTTTGTAGCAGTTGTGCCTCAGCGCAAATCTCACCTCTCTGTATAGATCTTGCTTCATTACCTCTTCTAAATAGTGACCTCTCATCAGTCTGTATCACATCACTCTTATTTCCCATCCTTTAATTATTTTATCTAAAATAATTGTCTTGGTTTATTTGCATGTACGTGTGGCTGTTTGGGTCATTGTGAATTCCCTGAAAATAAGGACATGCTTGTTTGTGCCCAAAAGCCAGCAGGGAGTCTGGGACATGGTAGACGCTTAATAAATATTTGATGAATAAAAGAATGATGAGTGCTTGATGAGGGCATACGACCTGCAGTAGGGGCAGAGGAGGAGCTGAACCCAAACAGAGATGACTGTGGGTTCACCCTGAACCACTTGCTCCCCTGCCTGGGTTGTTGTCTTCTAAGGTAGCCATTAACCCTCTGCCATTCACACTATTTTCTCCTCCACCCTAATGAGGACACTCTATGTATCCACAACCCACAATAGGCACCGTCTTTAAATGTCTATTGTAATAACTAGAATCAAGATTTCTATAAATGTGATTTATGTACTAGGAAGCATACATCGTGTATTATTCTCCCAGTGTTAAATATAGATTTGTCAAAATGCACAATCAATCTTCCAGGGTGAAGTGTATTTGGGGAGCACATAAACCCCATTAAAATATTATAATATGCTCTCTACAGTATTTTTTGGATCTCTTCTCTCCCCTTGCTGCAATAAAATATTATCCTGCAGGATATAAATCTTATGATCCAGATCTATTCCCTCATGTCATCTACTTGGTTTCACACATTTAGTTGGGTCTCTGGGGCCCTCATGGATGGTGTTTCTCGCTAGGACTTCAGAAGTGAAGTAGGAAAGGGTGAGATGGGGGTGGACGAAATGGGGGCAGACACAACAAATCCTTAGACACACAGGAGGCCGGGACATTTCCCCCTTCAAATTATCTCCTTGTTTTCCCCTTCTGCAAACATGTCTTACCTTAAACAGAGTGCTTTATCCTCTAAGGCTAAGAGGGTGCATTTACCCACTACTCCCTAAAAGAGCATGGCTTGGAGGTAGCCTGGCCTGGATTTACCTGAGTTAACCCTGACTCCCAGAGTTGCTCAGTGCCTGACTGTCAGGCCATTTTTACACTTCAGCCAAACCTAAGCAACAGCAGAGAGACAGAGGAAGAAAAAGAAAGAGAGAGAGAGAGAGAGAAAGAGACAGATAGACCCTATAGGTCCAAGGCCTGTGGGAGAATGCAGTCATTGGTTAAATGTTGATACATATAATTAGTAGTTGTGAGGTATTATATCTACTTTGAATCTGTCACAACCAATATTCAATCAGAAGAGATAACAAGGTTCTGTAGACAAAGTACTAGGCTGTCTGTCTGAAGACCTGGACAATTCTCTTTTTGGTTTTATCATTACAGAGTACTTGTATGACTTTAAGTAAATCCTACGCTCTCCTGGACCTCAGCTTTCCCATCTGTGAAATGATTGTTTGATCTCTGTAATGTTTAATGTCCCTTCAGACTCTGACATTCTAGAGTCTAGTCTAATTGATTGGAAAATGTTTACTGATTCGACAACACTTTAGTTATTTAGTCAAATTTTAACAACCCTCAGTGCACTTTTTCAAATCCAGTAAGCAAGTAAGTCTCTGAGTTCTTGGATTCCCTTGTAACAAAATCCTGGAAGCCTGCACTAACTGTTCCCCTCCTGCCTGCAACCTGCTTTTCTTACCTCTTTGCAAAGATCACTCCTTTGCAGGAGTTGTGTCTCAGCCCAAATCTCACTTTCCTGAAAAGATTTACCTTCGTTTCTTCTTTTAAATAGATGCATTTGGAGTCTTAAGAGTTAAGACACAACTTTTAACCTGCTATGTGAATAAGTTATCCAGTACAGAGATGAAAGGAGGCAGACTAGAAAGGGAGCCAGAGATGGAGCCTACATTGTCAGATATGATGAGTAGGAGAGAAGAGATGGGGCATTTTTCAGAATCAGAACTCCGTGCATATTGGGTTAATGTATAGACTTTCATCATGTTGCTGGGATGAAATGTAGTGTTCACCACTTAGAAAGCATTGGGATATTAGTGTTCTCTTTCTTTCTTCTTCTTCTTTTTGCTTTTTTTTTTTTGAAACAGGGTCTAACTGTGTCACTTGGGCTAGAGTGCAGTGGTGCCATCATGGCTCACTGAAGCTCCAAACTGTAGAGATAGGATCTCATTATGTTGTGCAGGCTGGTCTTGAACTGCTGGCCTCAAGTGATCCTCCCATCTCAGCCTCTTAAAGTGCTGGGATTGCAGGCGTGAGCCACTGTGCCTGGCCTGTAATGCTTTCTGATTGTAATAATTGAGAGCTGATACTTCAACACCTGCCAAGTGCCAGACACTGTGCCAAGGACATTTCCCTACATTAACTCCTTTCATTCCTTGAGGTGGGTTTCAAGTTGGAGAAGTGAGGTCCAGAACCAGCACAAGGCAAGCTGAGATATGACCTTTACCAGTATGACTGCAGAACTTGAGCCCTTAATGTCTGTGATATGTCGTGGATGTTTGAAAACATCTTGGGACATGGGTCAGCTTCAGTTTCTGGAAAATCCTCTCATGTAGCACGCTGCCTTCCCCTGATGCCAGATAAAGAGGCATTACTACATTAGAATCTATTGAACTATAAGCAAATAAAATTGAGTGGTATGTTTGATTTATTCCTGTCTCATCCCTGGGAAGTCTATACACATACACACCTATTCTTCGGTCCATCTATCAATCCACCCACCATTTGACACCCAGCATCTGGCACTTGTGAAGACACTATGTTAGGCAATGGAGATACAATGGTAAACC